TGCAGAACAGAATAAAATCAATAATATTTGAATTTTTTTTTATTTCAAGCTTTTAAAGGCACACCACTCGAAAGCTGCACTCTTTCTGCACTTCTACAAACTTTTTATAATGGCAGAAATGCATGCTTCTTTATCGCCACATACATAACATTTCTTGAGTTTTAACGTGCTACACTTGCCATTTTCATATGAATTCTTTTTGTTGTATTTCACGTTCCAACGGTTGTTATAAATATTGATATCTATTTTTTGTTGTAAGCTTAATTTTAAAATGTACACTTGTGTAATTTATCAGCAGGGGACCTAATTGCAGAAAATACATTTTGCTGATTCCGAATTGTAGATTGTCGAGTTAATAGAATTACATGTAGAAATGAATATAAAAGCTGTTTATGAAATAATGAAGCATTTATAATTTCAAAGGAACCAAAATTTTAAAAATAAATAAATGAAGTTAAAAAACTCAATGTTATATATATATATTGTTTTGTTTCACTAAAAAAATTGTCCAGTATAAATTATTTAACCCTTTGCGACACGCATATTTAAAATATATTTTAATCTTTAAAAAAATGCCTTAGAATAAGTGAGATGGACTTACTTAAGTGCTTAAGGCTTGAAAAAAATTCTGCGCTTTATTTTTTACGGTGGAAGGTGGGATACCGTTTGTCCCACCATGCAACTAGCACATGTCTTATAGCTATTGGTGTATAGCAGGAAAAAAAATCATATGTGGAATGAATAAACAAAATAAAGCAGCATTCTAAAATATTCATATAAAACACTAAAATGCATTTTGTACTTTTTGCATATATGCATGACTTGTAAAATTTTGCATATGCACATTTGCATATAGTATATATTTAAATATTTTAAATTTTAGGAACAAAAGAAAATATTTTCTTGAATATTATTTTAAGATTTAAAATTTGATACTCGTACATATGATACTAAATAAATATAAAATTGGCACTTGATTCAAAAACATTTATATATGATTAAAAATTGAAAAAAAAATCATTTTTCATGAAAACTTTGAAAAAATGTTGTTTCATTCTTTTGTAAGTATGGAGGCACTTCACATGTTTCACACATCCAAAATGTTCGTCGCGTTCTTCTTTCGATGTGCTGCAATATGCACATCTTTCTGCTGCTCCTTCTCTCTGGCGTGTGTAACTTACATTTTTTAGTCTTTTCTGGTTGTACGAATGGTTTTTTAGTTTTTATTTGAACTGGGGATTTCAGTTCATTTTTCAGCTCTTTCTTGCCTGCAAATGCCATTAGACCTTCTATAACTGAGAGACTAGAAATCTTTCATTGTTTTTACAACATGATCGGGTTCGCGAACAAACTTAAATAGAATAAATGTGTTTACTATACTCGCATCTAAAAAGTAAAAAAAAAATATCCTGTGCCACCATTTCTTGCTTTTGCGGCCTATTTCATATAGTTGTCGTTGATCAAACAAAAATTGACTAAATGTGTTTACATACTTGCATCTAAAAAGTAAAAAAAAATCATGTGCCACCATTTCTTGCTTTGGCGGTCTATTTCATATAGTCTGTCAGTTGATCATCAGTCGACATATCCCATATTCTTATGATGGAATAATGCTGTTTGGGCACAGTACTTTTTTTGTTGTTGTTGTTGTTATTGTTTTTCCATCTCGTTCTTTTCTATTAATTTCTTTCAATTCAGTTGCCTTTTCCAAGCAAGACAGGATAGAAACGGAATCTTTTATCCTTCCATTTTTATGCAATAAATTGAATCATCGGCTAACTCAAAAGTCTATATCTCCTCTTGACATAAATTTGTCTTCTTTTAAAATTTGGGTAGATACTTCCAATCCATTTACAGTGCCACATGCATAGATGGGTCTGTGTCTTTAAAAAGCGAAACAAATTATAACTACTTCCCTTTCTTCTTCAGCAATAACTCAACCTCAGTTATCTCTCCTGGATTCAATTTTCATCTAAATCAGAACTGACATCTGAAGCATTTGAGTCGCAATCGGATGGCAATTCAGCAAAAAGATCCAAAGCTTCCTGAGTTGTTAATTTTTTGTAGACTTAGCACAATCAGAGCATACAACGGATGTAAAAGCGCGCACAATCACGAAAAAAGTAGATGCGAAAAGAAAAAAAGAAAAAAATAATCGTGAGTGCTGCCATCTATTGAGCGGAAATTCAAGTGTGTGGTGGGACAAATTTTAACCCACTTATTTCAACTGCAAAATTATGTTATAAATATTGAATCCAATTAAGATTTTTGAAAATAAAATACCTTTGAATATTAAAAAGAATCATACATATCATAAATTGTATACCAAAATTTTTAAAATATGGAAAAATGCGAGATACATGGATATCACTCTTGTGATCCTATTTTGAATATTTTTTGCTTATAAACTTAAGCCCTGGTATAGTAGTAACATATACTGAGAAAAATAATAACTAAAATAGATTATTTTTAAAAGATTAGAAAATTTCTAACGGAAATTGCTAAGTGAGAAAATAAATATTAATTAGGTGGGACATATATTGACCCACCATGCCGCAAAGGGTTAAACAGTTTCATTTTATGCTTTGTGAAGACAGAAATTGTTTAGTTACAAAATTTCGTTGTTTAATTAATTTAATAACTGCCATTTTGAAAATCATATTAAGTAATCAGTTGAAATATTTTCATTCTCAATAACCTGTTTGTCACTTCCTTCACATTTTATGGTGATATTTTCCAGATTTAAAACCATACTGTATGTTTTGCCATCTGTCACCTGATTCTTCATAGCATTCTTCCCACTACAGCAGTGAAAGGAAACCAGAATGTGTAACGTTCCACTCTGAACAAACTTTGGTCATTGTATTATGTGCAGGGCTACATAAGATAATAAAATGTTACCTCCTTCCACGTACATACACCAATGAAAAGCCAAAAATGAAAATTTGATTTGTTGTTAACTAGTGAGGAGTTTAAATAAAAAATCATTCAAGTCAGCATTTATGATATTTTATGCAGGATGATTTAATATTATCCCAGATGATGACTTTTTTTTAAAGGGGGGGGGGACTCAGCTAATTGAAACAAAAATTGAGTTTTGGTGCACTAGCTTTTATGGAGTCTTACATTATCCATTTCTGCATTGTGTGATGAAAAGGAAAGATTTTTTTTTAAATGTTGTATGGGAAGCTCGAATAACAGATCATTCTGGTTTTGGGATGTTGAAATTTTGGATTTTGTACTGTAGTTTGCCCTCGGAATCACTGAAGAGAACAACTGCTTTGACTTTACCTTTTAAAACATTAACCACAAAATTTACATCAGAGCAAGAGAGGGGGTGAACACTGGTAAATTAGCTTATTGACAGGTTTTTGGGTAAATGCCTAATTAAAATGTAAAATATGTCAGTAATGTTGCTTCAGTTATAAGTCATCATTCTTTTTCTTTTATAAAAAATCATCAAACTCTGCCAAGGTGGTTATGCTAATACACTTGCATTGGTATTTAGATGTGGTAGCACGTAACATATTGATAATCATGGTATTAGTATAGATTTATTGATTCACTTTTATAATTTGGGCCTACCAGTGGTCGAGCAGTACAGTTGCTGAACACTGGTAGTTCGGTCCGAGATTCGAACCCCGTGACGGGCAGGCTGCATGGGCGTTTTCGTGGTTTTCCCCATGTGTAACGTGTATACGAGCCAATTTTCCTTAGAGAGTCCTCCGTGAAGGCATTCCTCCCATTAGGCAGTTAGCCCTCAAGGCTTTGCCATAGTCACACACACACGCACTTTTATAATTCATGTAATTCCAAATGATAATATCGGCTCAGAGAACAGGGATGGCTAAAAAATTTGGCATTTCAAATAAATGACAAGATAATGAGGATTGTTCCCATGACCAAGAGAAACAGACAATGAATGTGTTTTCAGTACTTCAATTTATGAAAAGTGTTTCTTGTAAATTCTATGTGCAGCAAGTGATTTGTTAAATAAAAACAAATAGTTAGAACAAGGTGCCCGGAAATTTAAATATACATGTGATAAAAACAAAGAAGTGAATTACCAGCAGGAATTTTGATGGCGTAGAAGTGTTTATCCATAATAGGAAATTGGAGGCAAAGGCAGATTAAATCGTCATCTTTTATTTCAGCAAACATGTTGCGGCAACAATCAAATTGGCACATTAATTGTGCCTATTCCAAAAAGCTTACATTTTTGATAGATGTGCAGTAAAAAAGAAGGAGCAGACAGGCTGCAGTCCAGCTAAGCCAAAGCGTAGGAAGCAAGTATCTTATGTTCAGGGTGAAATTTTAATTCAGACTGAGTTAGCTTGGGAATATTACTGAATTAATATTGGCTGCTTCAGTTTTAGCTCTATTTACATCACCAGAATTATATAAGAGTCCTATGACATAGTTTAGTTTCAAAATGACGCAGTCCAAATAGATTTTTAGAATTGAGAAGGGAAATTTATGTTGCTAATTTAATCTTTTATATAATATCCTTCTGTATTTCAGTAATTATTTTTATATATATATATGTGTGTGTGTGTGATTTGCAGGGGGGTGGGAATTATAATGTGTCAAGCAGGTATCAGTGACACTGACCTCACTAAATGCAGCAAAATCTGAGCAACTCATGAAATTTAAATACTGCTGGTCTTCTTTATATGAAATTTGAACACTGCAGTCAGGCAGAAAAGATTTAATACAGGCATATCTTGCTAAGACAGCAGCATTAATTTTGTAAAAAAATTAATGAAAACCTGTGCTGTTTGTATTCTGCATTATAGATCATTTTAATGAATGAATAAGATTGTTTCACTTTTGTTCTAAATTGCATTATTCTTTTCATTTTTATGGTTTCTTTTTATGTTTTCCCATGGTTTTTATACAAATTGATAAATAAATTTGTGTATCTTGTTTTAAGTATTTCCTACCAATGTAATTTTGTATAGTTTCTTACATTTAAATGCATTTATGCATTTTTTTTATAGTTGCAGAGCAGTTGCAAGCTCAACATAGTGCCATTAAAATGCTTCATAGTCGAGTTCGTCTAATATTAGATTATATTCGAGCTGTAAAAGAAGGAAAGGTTCCTGCAAACCATGAAATTTTGAGAGAAGCATATAGTTTATGTCACAGATTACCTGTTATTTCTACAGATTTTTTCAAAGAAGAGTACTTTAATGTAAGTTGTTATATTTAATTGTATCTTCTGCTGTATTTCAGTAATTAAGTCATTCCTTGCTAGGTACAGAAATGTTTGAAGAAGTTATGTAAAACTTTTTGCAGTTATATCGTTTTAAATTTAATTTAAGTTTTGCTTAAAAAGTTTCATTTAATTGTACATATTTTTTTAAAATCATAACTGCAGCATTTTCATAACTTTCATAAAATGTAGTAAGAAAATATTAGTTCTTAAAATAGAAGGAAACCTAACCCCCCCCCAATTTTCTTATTTTCCCAAAGAAAAACAATTCTGGCTACGAAATTGGAGATACTTTTTATTTAGCAATTTGATACGTGATATAATTTTGCAAAATTTGTCATGTTCATCAAGTTTTGTAATATTGGTAGTCCATTTTAATATGGTTTTCATAGAACGTGAATCCCATGTATCTCTTTTTAAAGAGTATTATTTGCTGAGTAACTTTTTGCTTGATTAGTGAAATAAAAATATTTTTCAAATTAAGGCATAAACCTGTAACATTGTTGTGGGTTTTAGTCACAGATTCATGAATTAATTTTTCTGTTTATTGAAATTTTTCACATTTATGGGAATAGTATCATATTCAGGATTATCCTCTCATTTAAATTTCAAGCAAGCTTTCATAGTTTGCCTCATTAGATTTTTGTCTTATTTTGCATTCCTCCTCATAAATTTCGTCATATTCATTTATGTGAAATTCAATGTAAGCTTTTTATCATTTGGTATGTTATTAATTGATGCAGTAACTGATCAGTCAGTCCTCTTTTCTTTTTGACTTGACAAATTCTGCTGGAAGAAGCAGAACAAAAGATTAAACTTCACCTTTAAAAAAAAAAAAAAAATCAGGCAAGAACATTTGTAGTTAAATACTTTTCCTTGAATTATTTCAGTTGCAACTACTTTTTAATGTCATGAACGTTAAAACCTCCACTAAAATAGTAAAAACATATTTATCTGTATCATACAATATATATATACATACATACATGTAAGAAAATAATCTATCAGTACACTAATTATATATTATTTAATAGTACAGATAATACATAAATAAATGTTATTTCTTCTATTAAATAATGAAGAATTTTTATGTATGTATGTTTATATGTTTCTCACATTGTTACTAAACACCGGCATATAAAGCCATTAAATTTTGAATATACTTAATCTTTCCAGACATGTGCACAATGAAGCTCATATTGTGAATTTTTTTTTTTTAGCAAAACCTTTCACAATTAATAAATAAACTTAGTTATTTAAAAGGAATGTGCTGTCATTGCCTGATATAAAATCCTTTATCTTCTATGCACCAGCATGTTTCAATAAAGCATTAGATATTTAACTTTCAAATTTAATCTGTGTGTTATGGAGTAACAAATCAGGCAATTTAAAAACAATAAATACATATCTTAAGAATATTTTTTCTACTTTTTAACCTGATTGATTTAAATAAAAATGCTTTTAAATCATGAGGTTCTATTTAGAAATAATGAATATTTTTATGAAATTCCACAACCTGGACTCATTAACTACTTAAATATTTCATTTTCCTGCCATTTTGTAACCAGAAATAAGCATATTTTTAATAAAAAATTTTGTATCTTAATCATTTCGTAAATTCAAAGCAGTCGAAACTGTTACAACTATTGCATTTATTAATTTAAGATAATTTTTAGTTACAGTGAAAGTAAGGCATTTTTTACTTAAAGTTGGCTTTTTCTGGCGAAACTGGAAGAAACACTTTACAGGAGATAAATGTGAAAAAAGTGGATTCACTGTGAAAGGAAATCGTGCCAGTGGTGGAAGAGGATTACTAGTATCCATTTCGCAAAAGTTCTAAACCTAAATTAGATCATATGAACTTTCTGTTTCCTCATCATCACTAGAGAATTTAGATATAAAGAACTTTCAGGACTACCAGAATGTTTTATAGAAAATTCAAATTCACTACCTGATCTAATATAAGAATTATATTTTGTTATGAGGGATGTTTACTGTCATCCATCATTCTTTTATTTCATGGCAAAAATTGGGAAAAAATACTATTCACAAAGCCTAATACACTGAACACATGCAAGTAAACTTGTTGAATTTCTCCACCTAATGAAAAGTGGTAAAACCTATCTTTGAATATATAATATGATTGTAAAACCATATAACTGGTTTTATAATCCAATCTCTCCTGGACTACTAGAGGCATCTATTAGAAACACTTCAAAGTGAAAAAACCAGGAAGGTCAGTGGATTGGTGTAGGAAAATCATTGCCCGAGTGGTGTACGGACAAAACAGTTAATACTATTTTAGGTGGCTGACCATGCCATCTAAAATAGGTACAAAAAGTTATTAGTTTTTTAAATAAAATAAATGTTCTTATTTCATAGTATTGATTTAAGCTACATTTATAATTCATACATCCAGCTCAGTGTACTGTTTAGCAATATAGTTGTACAAGAAAAATATATGTGAATGTAATGCAAGAAATTATGTGCTTGCTTTTTATTTTCATAGTACTTTATAGTCAAATCTAAGAATGCAGTAGATTCCATTATCCTTTAAAAGCAAAGAAAATTGAATTATGTTTGAATAAGATATGGCACAATGATCAAAAGCAATAAGGCAGCTACCATTTCTTCCAGTAAACTAGCACATTCTAGATTTTTCGCAACTCCTGGTTTTTAATTTGTCTAAATTTAGATTATCTCTTTGGAATAAGTTTTGATTTTTAATTATAAAATAATAATAATCTTCATGAGACATATTCTTAGTAAAAAGAAAGACCAACACTAGCCCTGTGTCACTTCTTAATGACTTTGAGTGTAATTCTACTGATTAATTTCTTTCTATCCAAATTTTTTATCTATTACAAAAACTTGTAAAGGGTTCTAACCCTCATCTACTGCATGTTTCAGTAGTATAAATTGATGCTAAACTATTTTATACTAATATAGTGAATTTTAATGTAATATATTTTACATCTATTTAAATGTATGACTTTGTAACATTACTAGTCACTTGTGCAGACAACTGCACATCTTAAATCGGCATATTTGTTAATTAAATTTGAAAGAAAACTATATTACATTTTGCTGAGTGGCAGCATATTTCTTTTAAATCCTTGAGCTTTCTGTGAAATATCATAACCAAGTGGCTCACATTGCCGAATTTATTAATAAAAATTGCTTTAATTTCATATAGAATATGAAGTAACTGGGAAAAAAAAAATTTATTAAAAGTTTTGGCTTCAAAGTACATGCATTCAGATGGTGGATTACGTGTGTTCAATATTTAATGTCTCTAGGTGATGCAGTTTTCCCATAATGCCAAGGAACATACTTTTATAGATACCGGTTCTTCATTATTTAATAATAGAGAAGATGAGACTAGTTTTTCAGTTTGATAGCTGGTAGCTGTGCAGTCATAGAAGACATAGTGAAGTATATATATCCCATAGTAATTACAAAAAAGCTATCATTCAGATGTAAGAGTATAAATTTTATAACATAAGCAATAATTTGTGTAACATCTGTGTTAAAAACTAAGTAAAATATCAAATTTTAGAATTCAGAGTTTACACATTCAAACACTACTAAATTAAAAAAGATAGCTTCAGAGGTTTTTTTTTTTTTTAACTATGTATAATTATGTTAGATATCAAACACAGTTTTGTTGAATAATAGGTTGAAATACCTATGGCTAAATTTTATGTCAGTATAAGTTTTATAAAGTATATATTAATTTCATATTGGAAATATAAGTCTAATAGTGGAAAATTTTTGTTGTTTTGTGTATCAATAATTTATTTGAAAAGCTATCAATAATTGCTTAGATGCATTTCTTTTCTTTCCCCCTTTTCTTTTTAGTCTGCGTGCTTTTTGAGAGCCTAACTGTGTATTTATTTTTCATGCTTTAAAAAAAAAAGGTGTTTTTAGTACTGCAAGTTCAAATGCATCCATTATTTTGCTGATAAGCATGGTACATGAATTTGAATGAAATAAGATGGTATGTTCTGATTGGACTTTGTTTATTGAGTATGCAATGATCCTAGTGATTTCTGACCAGTTGTAAATGCAGTTATTTTTCCTACCTTTGGTGAAGTATTTTGAATTTGGGATGCTTAATACTAGATGCACAGTCAGAATACTTGATGTTATGTTAATGATACATTGTTATGTTTCTATGTTATTAAAGATTAGTACTGAAATTCCAACTATTAATATTGTTAGAATTTCCAATTATTTTATTTTGCTTTATAAAAAAATTTTTTTCTTCATTGTTGCATTTAACTATTTTAGAAATTTTAATTTTTTAATCCTGCTTTTAAAAGTTTTACCGTATCATAGCTTCCAACTCTCCCAATTTTACCAAAAGACTCCTGGTTTTTCATCACATTTCTTAGTTTTTAATTTTTAGCCTTTTCACTGCTACCAAAGCTTCTTCGTCTTTTCACCCATCAAACTACGAAATAAAATTGAATGGCCAATATGACCACATGAGACATTAAGTGAAAAAGAGTACAAAAATGGGTTTTTTATATTGGAATCTGCATACATAAAAGTTGAAATGAAGCAAAGAAATTTATTTATTTTTGGCTGCATTCGTCTGTACATGCTCCAGAGTGTTAAATTTGCAGTTAGTTTTTAAACTAGTTAATTTTATTATTTAGCATTAGCTATTAATTTATTTTCATTATATTTGAAAGTTCTTTGATAAATAACAACTTTTCTTCCATCCTGAATATTTTGTCAGCATAAAACTTTAAGAATATTACAAAACAAAGTAAAATTAATAAAAAAAAACATAAAATTTAGAATATTTAATTAAATATTATCTTTTTTATATCAGCATCACATTATAAATATTTTAGTAATCTAAATCATGCATCATAAAGTGAGCTGAAATCAGTATGACATTTTCTTGAAATCGTTCTGTTGCGCTGTGTAAAAAATCTTTTTTTTTTTTTTTTTTTTTTTTTTTTTTTTCAGATTTTAAAGTTGGCAGCTATGCCATATTTTATGTACTTTCAGTGTGTAAATGTCCCAAACTTCAAATTAAGGAACTTATGTAGTTTGGACAAAAGTTTTTGCTAACTGTGGTTGATGATTGTAATGATGGATCAGAATACATAATTCAAGCAGTCAGCTATTCCTAATGTGTTCAAATCCTTGTGATGATTTACTGATTAATTATAGCAAGCATATATTAGCTATCCAACCTTTATAATATATTTTGCATTAATAACTGATTAATGACCCAAATTATGTATTTCTTTTTAAATCAGATTTGCCAGTTTAGTGTCTTTGCAAGCCTTGTTGTCACATGACAAAATAATTCCTTGATTTATCATATTTTGAAAGTTGAGAGCTATACATACACATGTCAGGTTGAAATCTTTTGAAATCAAAGTTTAAAATAAGCAAATTTAATCCAAAATAAAATATGTTGAGTTCTCATTGATCAGTACTGTGATATATTAAATTTAATGTCTTCATCTCACATAAAACATAAACGTAATATTAATTCTTCCCCCCCTCCACAGAAATATTTTTTGCATTTAATGGAGACATTGTTATGTTATAATTAATATTGCTGTTATTAATTGCTGAAAATTTGTCTTTTCATTCAGCAATGTAATGATGTTGGACTTATGACTTACCTTGGAACTCTCACTAAAGGCTGTAATACAATAAATCAGGTAATTGCTTTTTTTGTTATTAATTTCTTCACTGCCTTTTTTCCTTCCAAATTTTATATGTATATATTATCCTTTTTCCAATAATTTTTATCATGTAGTAAAGGATTTTTTTTTTTTTTTTTTTTTTTTTTTTACTTTTTCTATTTTAGTTTGTAAACAAGTTCAACATTCTGTATGATAGACAAGGAATGGGAAGACGAATGAAAGGATTTTTCTTCTAGTAGCATTTTAACAATTCTAACTTTATCATGTACAACTGTAAATTCATTTTCATATAAAGATTTTTTGTTTGTAAATAAATTTATTCTGGTTAAACTACTGCACTAGCTATTTTTAATTTTATTTTTAAAAAAGATAACTATCATTGCGGTGTTTACCTTATTTTTAGCTGTTATGTAAGAAAATTGGTCCATTTCAATGTTTTTATATGCATTATAAAGAAACTGCTATGATTTTTAACTCAGTTGAACCACAACAAATAAATTACTTTTAGGTGATATTCTCCGCAATTCTAAATTCATTCTAAATTTCCAATAGCTTGGCACACTGTAATCTCAGTTATCATCATGGTTAAAAAAAATTGGTATTTATCGTAGTTCTCCCCCTCCTTTAGTAATAATTTTTTGGCAACAAAATACAGCCACTGAAATTTGCTTAAGCTTTTTCTCATCTTTAGGTTTTTTTGGGGGGAGGGGGGTTAAAAAATTAAAAAAGGAACATCATCAGCAACAGTCGTTTGCACTTTTCTGTGATCTTTTAGTATATCAATGTCAGTTGCTCTTTACTCTACTTTTTTCTTGAGCATTTAATTAATACAATACAAAATCTGAAACCCAGACTGGTCGGGACTTCGGTGATTCCGGATTTGGGATTTTTCTGGATAATAGATCATCAACTTAAATATGGCACATGCAGAAATTATACAATTAAAAATATGAAATCATAATTTATGTAGAATTTGACTTAATTCACAGCATGAGAGCATGAAGTAATATTTAAATGGTTTATTTAATAGAAAGAAATAAAAGTAAATAAGAAAAAGTAAATAAAGATGAAGTTAAAGGTATGCAGGATTAACATAAATGATGTAGTCCTTTTACACCTAAAGGCATAACATCAAAAGCACAATCTAAGTTCATAAACTCTTGAAAGCGCGTGAGCCGTCTGCTCACGTCTGCCCTCCGCTCTCGACCAGGTCTCAGCGCTGTCTGGGATGATTCTTACTGCGCTGAGTGATGCTATATTGATGATGTCATAACGGGCAATTCTAATTCAGCATTGGACGTTATGATTTCCCACAGCTTCGGCCAGCCTGAAGAGGCATCGTCCTCGATGTCTGTTGAATGGACATCACCATAATGTACCTGCAAAGAGAATAAAAAAAAAAAGAAAGAAAGAAAGAAAAAGAGAGTATCAGGTCCTTAGGTTTTGGGCTGATACAAGCATTAAATCAATTTGACCATGGCTTCATATGGTCAGACGCAGTAGATGTCAAATTCGGTCCTTCATGGTATCCTACTTTTTCGACTTCATATCTGTCATTTATTTGATCGAACAGCTATGATTTTATACGGTCCATGAAACTTAGGTTGTAGTTTCAAACCAGTCCCATATTGAGTTCTCTGAATGGCTACCAAGTCGCCAATCTTGTATAGTTTTGGTTTCTTACGTTTCTTGTTGAATTGCTTTCGATTCTCTTCTTGAATCTTCAAAATGTTGTTTTTAGCATCTCTTCTCTCATTTCATCACGTTCTTGTATCAATTGTTTTAGATATTCTTCATTCAATATCTCACTAATTCTCAAATCTTCTTTGTTCTTCATTTTCGTGCCTATGAGAAGCTCAAACGGTGAATATTTCGTACTTCTCGTAGTCGTACTGTTGATGATTCTCTGAACATCTGGAACATACTTAAACCATTTCGTTGAATCTTCATGTGATAATTTTCACAAAATAGGAATCAAATTTCTATGGATTCGCTCAATTAGTCCGTTACCTCTTGGAATACCGGTAGTAATTTTGACATGTTCTATACCTTCTTCAGTACAATACGCTGAAAATTCTTTCGATGTAAAGGCACTACCTCGATCTGAAATGATTCTGGCTGGATTTCCAAATACAGTCTGTTGTTGCTTCAATTTTGAAATAACTTCTTGCGTAGTTGGTGATTTCACTGGATAGAACCAAGTAAATTTCGTAAAAGCATCTACAACAGTTAGAATGTGTTGGTATCTCTTGTTCGTCGATGGAAGAGGTCCAATAAAGTCGATATGATACGTACTCAAGGGAACGTTTTCTTTCAGTACAGGATGAAGAAATCCTTCTGCTTTTCCTTGCTTCTTGTTGTACAGTTATACATTCTATACAGTTAGCAATTACTTTTTCAACTTTACACATTTCAGTCTGGGAATATAGAATTCTTGCTCTACGGCATTCACAGTTTTATTCTATAGCAAAGTGACCTTTTTTATGTACCTTCTGTATGATTTCGTTCTGTAAGGATTCTGGCTGGCACTACTAGAAGATCTTTACCATTTTCAAATTTGTACAAAATATCATTTCTCACGAAGAATCCATTTTTCTTTCTCCCTTCTTCCCTTCTCAACTATATTCTTGATTAACTTCACATGTTCATCTTCATTCTGTTGTTGTACTAACCGAATCTTCTCAGTTACATCGGATGTGTATGATGTTAAAATTAGAGCATTTCTACTTAGAGCATCAGCATGTTTCATTTGGCTTCCTGAATGATGTACAATTTTGTAATCGAATTTTTCAATAAACATTGCCCATCTTGCAATTTTAGGAGTTAAATCTTTCTTATCTAAAGTTTTCTGAAAAGCACTACAATGAGTTACAATTTTGAATTTAGTCCCTAACAAATAGTTTCGAAATTTTCTTCAGAGCTTCTATTACTGCAAGGGGCTTCTAATTCGTAACTACAGAGTTTCTTTCTTGCTGCTGGTGAAGTCTTCTTACTTATATACTGGATTGGGTGATAATTACCATCATCAGACAATTGGAGTAATACCGCACCAAAGCCTTGACTACTAGTATCAGCATCAGTATGGAGTTCTAATGGATATCCTTTGCCTAAATATGTGTAGAACAGGTGCCTGAGAGAGAATTTCTTTTAATCTTACAAAACGCTTCCTGTTGTGTTCGGAAATCGAACTTAAAACCAGTATACCTTTTCTAAGTAAGTCACTAAGAGGTTTAGGCTATTTACCATAATGTGGCATACTGAGGAATGAATTTACGAAAATATCCCGTTAGTCCTAAAAAGCTTTGTAGTCCTTTACAATTTTTTACAGTTACGCGGTTGTGGAAAGTTTCGAACAGCAACAGTTTTGGAAGGTGATGGTCGAATAGTTCCGTTTTCAATTACATGTCCCAAAAATTCAATTTTACGTTTTAAGAATTGGCACTTTTGAAATTTATTTATTTGTAATCCATACTCCGAAGCAGTTCTGAAATACTCTTTCTAATTTGTCTAAACATTCAACTTCATCATTAGTCAGTATATGACTATATCATCCATAATAAATAATTAATACAACCTTCATTTAACATTCGAATAATTGAATAAATATATCTTTGAAAAACATTTGGACTAATACATAAACCAAAAGAAGCTTTAAGAAATTCGTAAATACCATTATGTGTTAGAAAAGCGGTATATTTGGTGCAATTTTCATCTATGTCTACATGGAAAAAGCCATTTTTCAAATCTAGTGTCGTGAAAATTTTTGACTGTTCTAAGCGATCAAGTACGTCCGGAATAAAAGGCAGTGGAAATTTGTCTTTAATAATCTTCTTATTCAATTTCCGATAGTCCATGCATAAACGTTTCGAATTATCACGCTTGTTACACAAAACAATAGGCGCCGAATAATTAGAATTGCTAGGCTTTATTATGCCCTCTTTTAACCATTCCTTAATTTGATCGTCAACAACTTTTTGTTCCGCAAAAGACATGTATCTTCTATTTTGACAGACAGGAATATCATCGCATAAATTTATTTGCATCTTGAAGTCAGATTGTCTATTTTTCCAAGGCTGGTACGAATTAATTAAATTACACAGTCTTTCTTTATGTTCTGCATTTGAATATGCGATAAATCAATTTCGTTGACAGAAATAGCATTCACCAGATGTGAAAGGTAATTAAACGTTGAGCTACTTCCGCTTTCGGGGCTTTTGTTTACATTAACAGAGACATCAGACGACTGAGAAAGATCATAAACATTCTTCAATGAGACAGCAATATTCAAATTTCCCATAACGCAACGAACATTAGAATTTCGAGATGACTCAGCAGTTATCAAGTTTACATTACTTTTATTCCGATGTGAAATTATTTGAAGGCCATTCTCGGTAAAAGAGAAGTTAAACTGATTCAATACATCTAAACCTAATACAATTTGATTACATAACGACTTAACAACATAAATTTTCGTACGAAGTAAAAAACCATCAATTGAAATGAAAAAGCTGATGGGGTACGTTTGCTTTGATTCAATTCCGTTTAATGTGATATCGCTACAATTTAAATTAGGAGAACCAATCTGCTTGTGTAACTCTACGCTGCATATCGTTACATCTGAACCAGTGTCAACTAAACTATCAACTAAATGATATTTCTACAGTCTTCATAATTCTATCCTTGTCACAAATTCGTTGTAATAAAGCTGCTTGTTTCTCGGGGGTCTGATCTGGACAGTCGGTTGAATAATGCCCATACTTTTTACATTTTATACATTTTACACCCTTTGATTTGTTTACACAATGTTTTGAATAATGCCCAAATTCCTGGCAATTAAAACATTTGACCTTATTAATTAACGTTAGATTGATTTTGGTGTGATGACGAAAGCTTACTTTTATCTTTAACTTGAGTGTCTACTTTCGGTTTCGGATTTTTAAACTTATCATTGTCCGATCTCATTTTATCATAAATTTTAAGCCTTTGTTTAAATTCAGCTATTGTTTCACAACCATTCAGTATAGTTTTCCTAACCACAGAATCGGGAATACCATCAATAACATATTTAATTAATGAAGCATCTTCAATGTTACCTCGCGAACACATTTCTTTCATTTTCAAAAAATACTCATCTAAAGATTCATTAGGCATTAATTTACGTTGTTTACATAACATTTCATGCAACTCAGCAGAATTAAAAGCTTTACCATATTCAGATTTCAAAAGCTTTTTTAACTTACACCAATCATTAACTTTAGGTTCACTCTGAATAAATAGTTTCGCTTTACCTTTTAATGATCTTTTAGCAAAAACTAATTTATGCAAATCACTTAATT